GAGTCGCCCTGTTCCCGCGGCACGTTTGAATGCGAGCTGCGCGCGTCTCTCGGCTCCGTCTCCTCTCGCGGCCTCGGCCTGCCGGGGGCGCGGAGCCCTACTCGCTCCCCAGGCTGCGGGGGGCCTTCCCGGGGTCACCGGGCCGCACGAACCGGTTGTGCAGAGCCGCGCATGGACCGGCACGACGGCTCCTTCGCCCCCCCCCCCAGCGCTCCCCTCCCGCATGGAGTGACTTGTGGGGGGCGGAGAGCAGAAACCCCACCCGGCCCCCTCCGCGCGCAAAAAGCCTGTTTGAAGATTTGCTCTGGGGGATCTTTTAAAACAACAAGAACAGCCCCCTTCCCCTCCCCCCCCCGTCACTTTTTAATTGTGGACACTTCAAACTCTTGGCGCCGAGGGGCTCTTGACTCAGCCCAGCCCCCCAGCCCAAATCGGGAAAGATCTGAAAAGTAGACAGAAAAACATACCGCCGCCCTTGCCAATTCCTTGGCTATCTCGGGGTGGGGGCGGCAGGGGAGAAAGATGCTTCTCTCTTCTTGTCTCCCCCACCCCCTGCAATCCTCCAATAATCTCTCTCCAAACAAAGTAGCCTTTCCAATTTGATCGCCATCTCGTCTCTCCTCTCCCCCCCCCCCCACTTCACGGTCCCTCTCCACAACTCAAACAAATTATCTTTCCCCAGAAAAGACAAGAAAACGCGTTGGCAAATAGCGCCAAAACGACGTGCGAAGGGGGCGGGCGGGCGAAGGGATCAAAGAGATGAAAGTTTATTTTATTTACTTACATGGGAGTCAAATTATCTTTCGCTTCCCCCCCCCTGCGCGCGCGCGCACACACAAACACACCGAGTAGCGCTTTTCCATTAAAAAATTAATCGTTTCGCATAGTCAATGGCCAGGTTACCCCGGTTGCAAGTACGCGATCAGGACTGGGAAGCCAGGTGTTGATTCGGATTGCCTCGAGCCACAATCCTGGGCACGGACTTGCTCCCATCAACCACGGAGCGCAGAGGGAGCCCGTGGGGCTGCCCCCCCCCCCCCAATATGTTCCTCCGTTCTCCCAAACCGGAGTGAGCAAATTGACGGTTCCTCTCCAATTGACGCTTCGCGGGCAGCGGGCGCAGAGGGAAGGAGGACGTATCCAGAGCGGGGGTTCACTGCTGCGAACCGCCGCTGACTTTTTCCAGGCCGTGATCCACCAGGCAGTTAAGCCCGCGTGCCTGGAGCGTAAAGCCAAGTTTGTGGCCAAGAGGGATGCGGAAACGTCCTTGAGGGTTAAGCGCGGCTCCGAATCTTTGGGAAGATAAATTGAGAGAAAGTCTCTGCTGCTGGCGGCTTGTTCTTCCTCGGAGTGGGGAAGACTTACTGGCCGAAGTATCCCGCGGATTCTTCGGTCCCTGTCGCTGCCCCGCAAGCGCTTCTCGGCCAAATGGCACCGCCGGCGCTCGCTTGCCTGCGGTCAGATTCACGGGGCTTAGTCTCCGGGGCTGGGGGCGGGAGGCTTCGGCGCGGACCCTGCAGAGCACGGGAGCTGCAGAACAGGGGGGTGGGGGGGAGAAAAGGCGTGGGACGGCTGGCCCCGCGGCTGCGTTCACACGTGCGCACGCGGGTCAGGCACGTCCGGACGTGGCTTCCCGCGCCCGGGGAGCACGCCCCGATCCCCCGCGAAGGGCCCTCCGCGCTGCCACGGGCCGGCCGGCACCTACCACGGGGCGCCGCTCCGCGCGCGGCCGCCTCTCCGCCGCCTCTCCGCGCCGCGGCTCCGTCGCCCAGCGGGTGGAAGCGCTCGCCCGGCCGCCCAGGGCCCGCCGGGGCCGACCGGAGGCGAGGGGCTCTTAAAACGGCGATGCGCCTCCATTTTCCGGGCGCCCCGCGGGTCTGCCCCCGCCTCGCGCCACCTGGGCACCCCCCCCCAATTTCGGGAGGACGGGACTCGGTCCCCCGCCCCGCCCACCCCCTGGGGGAAGTGGGGGGCGCCTGCCCATTTTTGGCGTTTCTGGGTGGGCCCGGCCGCCCCCCGCTCGGAGCAGTGGCTTCGCCTTCCCTCCCTCCCTCCGCCTCGCGCTCGGCTTCTCTTCCCATCCCAATTTTTCTTCCTTCCTGAAATTGCGCGGGGGGGGGATGCATGCGGGGGGCTCTCATCTCGTTCGGGATTTGGAGAACCGGATGGCTGTCATGAGAAGCTCTAATTTGGGGGCAGGAAAGGAGAGGGACAGAAGGAAATCCTTGATTCGATTCAGTGAAATCCTTATCTGCGCCCCGTCCCCGCTTGCTCTTCCCCGCCTCCGCCAAGTCATACTCCTCGCACGAGACCGTGAGCCCCGGGAGGGACTGTAGGCTTGGTCCCCTATCGGGGCAGCGCGGCTGCCTGGAAGGGGCTCACCCCCCCCCCCCCAATAATCAAGTCCATTGAGGGGATATGTTTCCGGCAAGAATCCAAAGCCTTTTCGCTCCGCCTCGGTCCTGTTGCATTCGGTGGGATTTACTCCCGAGGAAGTGCGAGACGAGCGCGGGGGCCCCAGCCTAAACCGGCTGCTTGGCCTTCTCTCGGGTCGCACCTTCCTTCCTGGAAACCGGCCACCGCGATTCTGACGGCGTCCGCGCTTGTCAAGTGAAGCCGAGAGCCCGGCTCGGAAAGCTGCGGCCATTTGCACTGCGAGGTCCTCGGGGCAGCGACTTCTCAACCCCTGTGTTCCCTTTTGCCGACCGCGCGCGCGTGCACGCCCAGGCACCCATCCCCACGCCAGGGACGCACCCCGCGCCTGTGGCATGCGGCGCGCGCAGGGCGAACACGCGGGCGAGGGATCGGCGGGCTCCCACGCGCGTGGAGTGCACGGGTCTGCTTCGGCACTGGCAGGGAGGAAAACGCTGCCGGCCCGGGGGGGGGGGGGGGGGGGGGGGGGTCAGCCTGGCAGGCGCTTCGCGGAGGCCGGCGGGGCTCCTTGGGCGCAGCTGGGCGGGGAGCGCGGGGCCGAAGCGCCTGCGCGGGGGAAGGAAAGTCTTCCCCGTCGCCGTCTCCGGAGAGGGCGAGAACCACGTGTGCGGCAGAGACACGCGTGGGCCCCGAGCCATGCACAGAGTGCTTTTGTGCATGCAGGGTGGGGGGCGAGCCCTCCTCGCCCCCCCAAGCCGCGGACGCCCTCCGAGGGCCCCGGAAGAGGCTCGCGCGCCGCCTTCCCAAGCCCTCCGCCCTGGAAGGGGCAGGCCGGCTTCCGCGCGGGGTGGCGCCGCTCCGTGGGTGGGCCTGGCGCCTCCCGTGCACGGCGGGATCGCCCCCGCGCCGCGGCCCTGGCCATGGGGCCGTGGCCCTCCGGTGCAGCCGCCGAGCCGGCCCGGCCCGGCCCGGCCCGCTGCTCGTGCGCTCCGCGCGTTGCGCGCCTCTGCCCTCCGCGCCGGCCCGGCTCTCTCCGGGCGCGGCGGCCAGCAGCGCCAGCGCTCGGGGCGGCGGCGACGGGGGGGGGTTGCTCCCCCCCCCCCCCCCCGTCCGCAGCCGCCGGAGCCCGGCCTGGAGAAGGAAGGCGTCCCGCGGCCTTGCCTCTATCATTGCTTAATATTTTATTCTGTTGACATGTTTCTTTTTCCTGGCGATGCTTCCGATACCTTCCCCCGTTTCGCTCGCCGTCGTCTTTCCCCTCCTCTTCCCTCGCCACCGCCCCCTCCCCGCCAGCCCCTCTGCCCCCTCCCCGCCCTGCCCCGTCCCAGCCCCCTCCCTCGCTCCAGATCTTGGCCGGACCTGTCAAAACCACGCCTCTGGACACACACAATTGGTCTGCGCCGCGTAAAATCCACAATCAAGTAGGCTTGGCTCATTAGGGGGAGGGCGAGGGGGGAGCGCGCCGGGGGGGGCGGCGGGAGAGAGAAGAGGAGGGGAGCGCGCGGGCGGGCGCGGAGAGGCGAGGCGAGGCGAGGCGGGCGGAGCGGCAGCGGCAGCAGCACCGCTCGGCCGGCCGCCGCAGAGTGCCCGCTCCCGCGCACGGCGTCCCAGCAGCGTCCGAAGGGGAGCTGCGCCCCGGCTCGCTCGCTCGCTCGCTCGCTCCGGAGCCATGCGGCGCGCGGCGCCCGGCGCGGATGGCGGCGGCGGCGGCGCGGCCCCGGAGCCCCGCGAGCCCTGAGCGGAGGAGAGCGCGGG